GTATTGGGTAGGAGATTAGACTCCTTCGGCTAAAGAAAATTTGATTAATTTCTTCCCTGTTTATCTCAGGAAATACACCACACATTTGCTGGGGGCAAGGATAGATCCGTTTCTTCTGTATTTCCCAAAACTTCTTGAGGAAGATTCTGTTTTTATTTTTACATTTTCCATGTGAGATCCTTGAAATAAACAAACTTTCTAATCTCCTTTTTTTCTGCCTCCCCTCCTCTATCACCTCCACCCTCCAAAAAAAGAAAACAAAGCTCCCAACAATTTTAAGTCTGAGGGTGTGGATGTATATTACAACATTCTCTATCTAGAAGAGCTCTTAGGTTGTTTAGATTTCTGAGACTTCTCCCACATCTGGAGCGATATGCCCAAGGTCCCATAATCGGATGGTGGCAGAAATGGGGCCAGGAATCAGGCTTTCTGGCTCCTACACCATTTCTTTCCATTACACCATTACCCGCTTGGGACACATTGTAAGATCCAGAAACTGGTGGCTGGTAGCCTGCCTCCATGTTCATTTTGTGATGAGGGGAATCCGGGACAGTTGCCGCTATTATAAATAATTATGGCACTTTCCAAATCCTAGCTTTCATAACTTCATTCCGTTTGTTCTGGTGCCAGGTTCACATTCAGATATTGTTTTCATTTGGTGTCTGGGAGGTTTTTTTTTTTTTTTGCTGTCAACTCTTTATGGACAAGTGTTTGCTTATTAAGTTTTCTTCTATGCTATAGTGTGAAAACATTTTTTTTTCCTTTTGGTTTTGTTTTGTGTGTTTTTATGCTCAGTGACTATTGTGGTACTGAGTAGATGAGCCCACATACAGATTTAGGTTGGTCCTCTGTGGGTGGTTTAGAATGTTTGTGACATTTATGGTTTGCAGAAGCTGAAGGGGTGGCCTGTTCTATACCCTCCTTGCAAAGATAAGTATGTCATGTGTTTGCCAGACCATGCTTAGCTATGCGCCTTTGGAATTTTACCATAACTTCTTTTTTTGGAATGATTCTCCACACTTTTTAAAAAAAATCTGTGAACTGTGATAACTTCTTGCAGCTTTATGAAGAAGTTATATGTTAGATAGATTGTTGAGTA